TTTCGTCTGTCATGCGACGTACATCATGACAACGAGAAACCGTACATGGCGATAAAGCGCAGCAATGTAGATGACTGCCTTTTCCAGAAAATTATCGTTTCTTGCTCTTCCGATGCATATCGCATGAGGGAAGAAAACTTATCATGCAGTCACCAAAGTCACGGGAAGATGGCCGGGGACTTTTTCGAGCAACCCAACAGTCCTCGTCACGCCAACTCAATCCTCATTCGGTTTCTGGCACTAAAAATTCACGAATTCCTTCCAACCGACATTTCCTCTGAAATGGAAAGTTGAGTCACAACAAATCAGTGGGGCATTCTTTGAAACCCAGCTCTTTTGTTACAGTCGATGCAGGCTGGCTCGGGGCTGAAACAGTTGAGGTGTTCCAGGTTGTCAAGGCGCCGATATATTCGCGCGGCATGACGCTGACGGCAGATAGCTCAACTGCTGCGCGTTTGATGCCTGCTCGTCAGCACCGCGCTGCCCGCTTACCAGCTTGCATGGTGTGAATAGCGGCTTCTGATTGGTCCAGAACAGGCCCAATGGCAGGCACGGTACGAGTGGTGAGAATTGATTGGTCAACAGCCGGATGAGTGAGAATAAGAGTGAGGTGTTCTCGAGTGGTATTTGTGCAGACTTAGGCTCTAGTCCGCGCCGGCATGACTCATCTTCGTTGACACAGGCCTCCTCCTGCGACTCGAATTGATCCGGGCCAGGGCGGATCTACACCGAGGCCTGTTCCTGCCCTCAAAGGAAGAGGTTGTAGCAATCTCAGACTGTCTTGGCGACACAAGTGGGCGCAAGCTGTGCGCTATCAGCCTCATCCAGGCTTGGGAATTGGGCTTACTCATGCACCAAACAGTACAGCTTAAAACTCTTCTTTCTGGTTCTAGTTCGCCCTCAATTCCTCGACTCCAACGTCCGCGTGAGCATCGAGGCGGTGCAGAACGAGACTGTCCGATTGTCATGTGAGGCTCTTGGTGATCCGCGTCCCCAGTTCACTTGGTACCGACGTGATGTCGTCATTCTGCAACCCAGCATGGATGTGCCCTCCTTGCCCTCGGGCTCAGCTGCTTCCGGGTCAGATGTCGTCTCTCTGGGCTACCAGGAGGTTGGCGGTCTCCCGGTGGCCAACCTCTTCGATCGGTCCGCCATGCAGCCCGGAGATCTCGATCTGGAGGCCTACCGTTCGGTGAGCGGCGGCAACGCTGGCGCCGTCAACAGCGCTTCTATCGGCGCAAACCGGATGCGATTGACGATGAACATGGCTGCGCTACGCGGGGGCCAAGTGTTGCAATTGGCCAATGTTCAACCGAGCGACGTGGATGAGTACACATGCACAGCAAACAATGGCGGCGGACCGATTGAGAAGCGCTTCAATCTGACCGTGATTGGTGAGTTTCATGCACACACTCGAGAGAAGTGGCTTGATCTCGTTTTCGCAATTTGATCGCGTTGCCAGGGCGAACGAGCTAAACGCACCTCATTCCTAATTCCTCTGTCATAGTATTCATGATACTTTCTAACTTCGCACTCTGGACATGATACAGTTCCAAGCTTAAA